ATGGCTTTACCTGATTAGATACAGCAGCATTGATATGGTCAATAGATCAGGGCCTTCAAAAACCCTCACTAGCCAGGCAGTGGTGGCACACACCTTTAACTCCAGCACTTGAGAGGTAAAGGCAGATGGATTTCTGTGGGCTTGAGGTCAGCCTGGTCTACAGAATGAGTTTCAAGACAGTCAGCCAGGGCTGTTACATAGAGAATTCATGTCTCAAAAAACCAAACAAACAAACAAAAAAGAAAAGCCTTCGTATCCCTGCAATGAAAACCAACACAAAGGAGCGTTCTATTTTAGTTACTGATGATGTCCCTTTCCTGAACCTGCTCTTTCTCTCTCGCTCTTTTCTTCCCTGCCCTTTTGCTAAAAGCTTCAGCATAGCACAGTCCCATTCCCTGGCTGTTTTTACTGATCTATGAATCCCAGATAAGAAGAAGGTTCCAGCAAAGCAGGCAGTAGACATCAGGAACAAAGTATCCCTTCAGGAGGCGAGGTGAGGTGTGCTGAAGGGCAGGTGTGCTGAAGGGCAGGTGTGCTGAAGGGCAGGTGTGCTGAAAGGTTGTATCTCAGGCTTTTCTGTGTCAGCTCACAGATGGACACTGGCATCTACGGTCATACAGCATCTGGTGCTCAGGGGTTAACTTCATGCTGCACAGAGGCAGATGAGAATGGGGTCTTGACAGTTCTGACATGTGTGTCATGTGTAGAAAATACAAAGCCTCTAGGGGCAGATCAGGAATGTCAGGATTTTTCTGAGGCAGCATTCTGCCCAAGTATGAAAAGGGTTTTGCTGCCCGAGGAACTCTAATGGAGACAGCAAAATGCAAATGTATGCAAGAACCTCGCTGGCTTAATTAACTGGTCCACTGATATTACCATCAGAGAGAGTGCCTAGGGGCACATGGCAACGTGCTGTGTGAAGGGAGAGGGTGGGAGGGAGGAGTAGGCTCTTAACTGGAGAGGATCTGTCTGTCAAGGTCTTCCTCCCTTGCAAAGAGGTCCCTGATGCCCTCCCCAGCCCCACTGCTTCAGAATGAGGTCTTCTGTGGACTCACACTACGCCCGAGGTACTGTTTGGCTTGCCTGCCCCAACCTTGTTAGAAAATGTTTTAATGGATGTTATATTATTCTTTAGCTCTTCTGTTATCTCTAGATGGGAAAACAATGTAGGAAATTTAATAACAAAAATTATTGGTTTTTCTCACTAAAAAAAATAAAGCTGAGGCAGGAAATTTGAAAAAGAAAAAAACTGACAAGGTTTTGATGGCTCTTCTTTTTTCTCTTCTCCACATAAAACACATAACAGTCTTTACCATATATCAGAGCTCTCTCTCTCTCCCCCCCTCCCTCTCTCTCCCCTCTCTCCCTCCCCCCTCCTTTCTCTCTCTCTCTCTCTCTGTCTCTCTCTCTCTCTCTCTCTCCCTCCCCTTCTCTCCTGCCCAGACCCACAGAGGACCTGGCTCAGGTAAGAGAAGAGAGTACATCATAATAGAGAGCATGGACACAAGCTGCAGGCATGGTGTCAGGAGACAGAATCTTTTTTTTTTTTTTTTTTTTTTTTTTGGTTTTCTGAGACAGGGTTTCTCTGTAGCTTTGCAGCCTGTCCTAGAACTAGCTCTTGTAGATCAGGTGGGCCTCTAACTCAGAGATCCGCCTGCCTCTGCCTCCCGAGTGCTGGGATTAAAGGTGTGTGTCACACCCACCCCCCACCCCCCGCCAGGAGACAGAATTTTAGAGCCCACATCTTCCAACTGAAGCAGAAAGCTGTTGTTTTTTATCTTTAGCACACTGGCTGCACTTGATCCTAACACTGCCTCAGCTACTGACTGTGCCTCACAGCCTCAGCATCTCTGCTGAGGCCTTCATGCCTGCCATTGCCATCTCAGCCACCATGAAAGGAAGCAAATGTTGTTTTAAGTCAGTCTCTATCTTTTTATTTTACCAATAAAGACTTGGGAGCCAAATGCTGGGATGAAAACCTGCTAGCTCAGAGAGGCAGAGAAAGAGCTAGCTGACCTTCTTCCTCTGTATCATCTCAGAAAGAGATGCCTCTCCTTTCCCATCTGAAACTAATACTCCTCCAACTGGATGTCCCTCCCTTCCACTTCCTGTGCCTGCCCCCTTCTACTTCCTGTGCCTGCCCTCCAACCTCTTGACTTCCCCTCACTCTTGATAGTTAAATCCAGTCAACTGGTTCTTTGCTCCACCTCTTGACCTATGGTTGATTTTATTTAAATGATGCAACCTCAAGGTTCACAGTGTGATCAAATATACTGTAACAAAAAGCAGAGAGAGCTCACTGGGAGTGGTGTGAGGCTTTAAACTCAAGCCTGCCTCCAGCAAGGCCATACCTGCTAGCCTTCCCAAACAGTACCACCGACTTGGGACCTCACATTCAACTACCCGAATTTATGTGGAGGGCATTCTCAGTTAAACTACAAACAGCAGTCTGTACTCATAAGAGAGCTTATGTGGAGGGCATTCTCAGTTAAACTACAAATAGCAGTCTGTACTCATAATACAATGCTCTTGTGGCTGGGTCAGTGAATGTTCCGAGTACATCAGTCCAGTATCCTTTGATAAAGGTCTGAGAAAGATACTGGAATGACATTCATTTGCTGTAGTAGGACTAGGGTCTTGTTTTTGATAATCCCAAATTCCATGTTTAGGTTTTATTGTGTGTATATTAAAATGGTGCTAATCTTAATATTTGTGAGATAGGGAGTAGATCAGAGCTAAAGACCTTTGTGGAGCAGACCCAGGGACATTTACAGAAACAGGACTGAGCCAACGACCTAGGCCAGAGAAGGCTTGAGACAGCAAACTCTATAGGAGCAGAGCAAACCCCAGGAGTCCCTAGTGACCTCAGGAACATGGAGTGACCAATGGGCTGACTGAAACTATGGCCCTGACTGCACCATGAGGAGCAACCATCTGAGCCTTGGATCTACTAGCACCTGGAAGATCAATCAGCAGAGTCACATTCAGCCCCAACCACACCAATTAGAGGAAAAGAGGAGTAGACAAGGTAAGAACACACGCTACACTGCAAAGAGCAACACGACACCAGTAAAAACTAGTGACCCTACAACAGCAAGACTTGAACAACCAAATATAGATGAATCAAAAGAAACTGATCTAAAAAATAACTTTAGAAGAATGTTTGAGACCCTTAAAGAGGAAATAAAAAATTCCCTCAAAGAAATGGAGGAAAAGACAAACAAAAATATTGGAAGCCATGATGTACTCTCTCTCCCTCTGGAGCCATAAATAAAAATAAACCTTTCCTTGTATAAATTGCTTTTGTCATAATGCTTTATCACAGCAAGAGGAAAGTCACTAATAAAGTGTACTACCATCTTTCTCAAAGTACATGATTATATAATTCATTCAGTATGGCTATTTTTGAAGACAAAACAAATAAATGATAAACTGGTAACCCTGGGATCTAATCTTTCAACTTAGAGCAGAACTAGAATCTAACACACTACTTAGAGATTTATTTATTTTTAAAGATCTCAGCAGGCACAAACAAGGTATTTGAAAAATATACACGATCTCATTTAGGTCAAGCGGTGGTGATGCCTTTAATCCCAGCACTTGGGAGGCAGAGGCAGGCAGATCTTCGTAAGTTTGAGACCAACCTGGTCTATAAGAGCAAGTTCCAGGACAGGCTCCAAAGCTATAGAGAAACCCTGTCTCGAAAAACCAAACCAAACCAAACCAAAACAAAACAAACAAACAAAAAAACCAAAGAACAAGATCTCACTTAGAGTTTTCTTGCAATCATGGACGTATGTGCAGTGATTATCCACTGCAGAAAAAGCAAAATTCAGTCCATGATGCTGGCAATGAAAACAAGAAAGAAACTCTAAAGCACATGACCGCTGTCAGCAGCCCTGGCTTCCTACACGGCTACTACAGCAGCTTGAGGACACTGGAAGGACACACACCCACCACACTAGTTTCCAGAACTGAGTCAAGGTTCAGACAGCTCACGCTGCCTTATATTTACAGAAATACACCCACACGTCATTAGGCTTTTGGATATTTGACTAGTTTGTGACAAAGCCTTCTTTCTATGTAGCAAGCTATACTCACAAAATTGTTGTTTATTAATTAGATCTTTCCAGTCTATAGGGTTAGCCATATTTTTAGTATGGATATTTTCTTTTTCGTAAACATGAAGCATTTGGAATCCTATTTTACGGAATGAACAGCCATATGCACAGGACTACCCTACCTTCTAGCATCTACTACTGAGGTCATAAAGCTACTACATGTTTTCAGAACAGCATCCAGTTGTGGAAAGGGCAGATCCACTGGTTAAACTGCTATATTATTACATCACAAGTATGAACTAGCTAACTGTTACTCTTTGTTGTTGTTATTTTTTGGAGACAGGGTTTCTCTGTGTACATCTAGCTGTCCTGGATCTCAATCTGTAGATCAGGTTGGTCTTGAACTCACAGAGATTTACCTGACTCTGCTTTCTGAGTGATGGGATTCACTCACTTTTAAAACTGAACTGTAGGGAGTCTAACCCTAAATTTGGTGCTCAACTGCATCAGTCTGAGCTCCCTAATTCATTCCCTAAGTTCTTCACTGAGCTTGGTTTTAGTCAATAGTTGTGTTTGTTTATATTATGTGATACTTTTAGGAGTAGACTGGATTTAAAATGTACATGAATAAATAAAATTTTCAGAAAAAAAATGCCTGTATTATAATGTGCTTCCTAGAGTTTCTCTAAGAATGGGAAGTTAGAGAGTACCCATCAGCTCAGCCTGCAGGTTATAATTCAAAAAGAACCTCCCCCAATGTTATTAGCTACTGCATATAATCTTACATGGTTTTCTAAACAAGATCTTTTAGGACGATCATCTCATATATGCAATGCTACAGTAAAAAATGAATGTTGACAATTTTATATAGCTTAACCTCAATACAAAGAAAGGACCACCTGCTCGCAAGACGGTATATAACAAAGAATTAGGTCTTACCTGAATGACCTCAGCATTCGATAGGACTTTCCCAAATCAGACACCCTTCTACAAAGTGGACCCACAGCCAGCTCCATCTGAAATATGAAGAGATAGACCACAGCTTTACATGGCAGACTCTGAAAGTCAAACTTGAGAAATACTCTAGGTCAGTTTTCCTTTGTTGTGATTAATACCCGATATAAACAATTAAGAAAAGAATGACTTATTTGGGTTCATAACTTCTGAGGTGCCAGTCCATCATGGTGAAGGTCTGGTGGGGCAGAATCGCTCACCCAATGGTGGCCAGGACACAGGGAGAGAATGCCTGTGCTGAGGGAACCCCTCCTCATCTGGCCCCAGTTGTGGATGTAGACTTACATCCAGGGCAGGTCTTTCCCTCAGTCAGTCCTCCCTGGAGACACCCTCCCAAAACTGCACTTTACTAACTCGTAGGACATTTTCAAACCAACCAAGCTAACAGTTTGACCATTACCTTACCTCAGCTCTCAAAAGTTCTAAGTCTTTGTAAGCTTAATGTTGACTGGCTGTGAAACACGTTCTGGAAGCCACTTAAATTTATTAAAAGATAAAGACTTCAATGACATTAACACTGCCTTACCAAAGAGGCCCAAGATGAGATTATTTCTACGCTGTTAAGAGGAGTGTTGGGAGCAGTGAGCCCCCAGATCCTGAATTTCTTGTAATCCCCTGATCTGAGTGCCTACAGCTGCTCTGAGCACGAGACCTTCAGGAGTTCCTGATGGCAGGAGAGTGGTTTCTGGGGGGTTTGGCTGGGGCGTGGCTATCTCTATATAATCTGCCCCTAAACACAATAAAGGGGGCATTCTTGGGGAATTCGAGGATGACCCGTGTCGCTGTCTCTCTGTCTGTATGTGTCTGTGTATCTTAACCTCCAGCCCTGTAGTGAGGAGCGGCGGGGCTGCGTCCCGCCACCCGGCTAGCTTTACCCGAAATAATTACATGGAAACTGTATTCTTTTAAATACTGCTTGGCCCATTAGTTCTAGCTTCTTATTGGCTAATTCTCACATCTTGATTAACCCATTTCTAATAATCTGTGTAGCACCACGAGCTGGTGGCTTACAAGGGAGATTCTTAACCTGCTTCCTTCTCAGAGAGGAGAGGCATGGCATCTGTCTGACTCGGCTTCTTTCTCCCAGCATTCTGTTCTGTTTTCTCCGCCTACCTAATTTTCTGTCCTACCAAAGGCCAAGCAGTTTTCTTTATTAACCAATGAAACAACAGATAGAAAGATGACCCTCCTCCATCACAGCCCCCTTGCCCGAAGCTTGCAAACTGGGTAATAGCCCTCCGAGCGGCAGATGCTGGGGTATGGTGCGTGGCAGAGGAGTTCAAATTATGTCTGACTTGGGAAAAGAAGGTTTTCTAGACTATGTACTTTGTATTCTACATAGCCATGGCAACTCTCTATGTACTCGATAGAACTGATGAGAATTTTCACCAGTCAGCATGGTCAAAGTGATTATAAAGTTCTAGTTCTGGGGATTTCTGTGTCACAAAAGTGGCAGAATTCCAAACTACAATCAATATAAGGGAACCCTGAAGGAGTTGCTTAACTCTTAGTTTTACCTTTGCCATATGTCAAATGAAGGTGGTGATATCTACTTAGTAAAATAACAAAAATTAAATGAATAATCTCCACTTGCACGACATATAAATACTTAGTCATAAAGTTAGTGTGACACAGGTGGCTCAGGGCTTAAGAACGCGGAGGAGGATCGGAGCTCAGTTCTCAGCACCTACACGGCAGCTCACAACTGCTGTGAACTCCAGTTTCAGAGATGTGGTACTTTCTTCTGGCCTCTGCAGGTACTAGGCACACATATGATGTGTATACATATATGAAGGCAACAGCTCAAACACATATAATAGGTCTTAAAATGTCTGAAATTATCAGTATTTAATTTTTTTCTCATTTATACTATTAACTTAATCTGCCCTTATACAAAAACTAGTAAAGGCTGGTTTCACTTCTTTTTACTTTTCTCCTTTGACTTGAAATTCTACTTGACAAGGACTGGCTCCTGGTTCTTTATCTAGTGCATGCTCATGCAGATTATCTGCACTGTGTGGCACTGAAAAAACTGGTCCTCCATGCTGACAGAGATGTGCTGCATGGTGAAGGCCAGTTTAGAAGATTGCTGAGAACAGGCCATTATCCCCTGATGGTGCAGTATCTTTATTCAAAAAAACAAAAGGAGGCCAGATGGTGGTGGCACACGCCTTTAATCCCAGCACTTGAGAGGCAGAGGCAGGTGAATTTCTGTGAGTTCAAGGCCAATCTGGTCTACAAGAACTAGTTCCAGGACAGCTAGGCTGTTACACAGAGAAACCCTGTCTCAGAATAAAATAAAATAAAACAACAACAACAACAAAACAAGAAACACAAGGAGAAGGAACCATCACAAGGCTCACCATCTTTATGAAAAGCTGTTCAAAACTCCTTGTCGATGTGGACCACAAAGCCCAAATTAATCAACCATTTGCAAACCATGTTCTACTCCCTACTCTTAGCCAGGTACCAAACCATATGTTGGGATAAGATGGAGAATTAGAAGTAGATTCTTTCCTTCAAGAATTCTCAAATTTAGTGAAAGGGATTTTTAAAAAATGTAACTTTTCAATAAGATCACAAATGTGTACATGTTTACATGCAGCCACAAATATACGTACTTTATGATTTTTGTTGAATGCTCATTGTATTACTGACATAAATACACATATGTATATAAATATACAAGCAATTATTACTAGGCAAAATGATAGTCCCTTTGAGAATGCCTATGCCTGCCTGTACCGAGTGCTGAGACAGGGCAGCTCCCTCGAGATGTTTTAGTGTTAGTGTTCAGGTCAGTGTCCCTCTTCTGATACAGAAAATTCAGAATAAATACCAAAGATTCAGTATAAACATACACACGTTAAGGGGAAAATATTACATGGTTGGAAAACTCTAAAATACAGAAGACTAAACAAACAAAAATTTAAAGAAAAAGCCAATATTCTTGCTGACGATCCAAACACGACAGCTGGGAACCAACACACTCAACAAGACAGGGACGATGGGCTGTTCTGGAGCCCTGGGTAGTGAGTAAACCAGACGGAGTTCTGGTTTCCTTCAGAGTGGAAAATCATTTTCCACTGAGCACAATAAACATGTACTCTGCGTGGCCTCTGACATGCTGATTCTATCCACACCACTAACTGCCCTGTGCATATAAGGGTTTCCGAGTGCGTGGAGAGCACATCGTATTCTGTGATACAGTTTCATGGCATATTTTAGTCATTTCCCCTCCTCCCCCATTACCCTTGTGGTTCAGTGTTGTCAAAGATCAAACCAAGCAACCTTTGACCTAGCTCTGGAGTAAGACTAAATCCTAAAATAATTAAATAGCTGAGGCAAAGTTCCTATATGAAAGATCATCATCACCTAAAATGGTTGTGAACACAGGAGATTTCGACGATACAGGGCACTTTCAAAAGGTTAAATGTTTAAGATGAATTTTTAATCAAAAAAGGATCCCAAGGAGACTGAAGAATCATTTCCCTTTAAACAATGAAGTTAATGTTTAAAAAGGGAGTGTTCTGCTAGAGGAGTCTGTAGAGCTCCAGATGGACACCGAGGCTGCTCCCTGCCCTGCTGCTGCTCCCTGCCCTGCTGCTCCTCAGTACCCACCAGGCATTGTTAACCACAGGGCTCATTTAGATGTGTCAGGGGCATTCTTGCCCTGACAATGCTCAAGATAAGAAAAGGTAAGAAGAATCAGAACCAAATGAGAAGTTTGCTTTCTTTTCTAACTATACATTTTTGGGCAATGTGGGAAAGATAAAAATGTATACTTAAAGGGCGGCAGAAAACTTATAAATAGAATTGCTAGGAGTACCACTAAATAATTTAATTCCAACTTCAATAGCTGTCCTTTCCCTCAGAGAAAAAAGAGACAAGCGGGGCGGAGGGGGAGACGGAGCTGCAGTCTGCACTGTGGGCATATCAGCCATGAGTGGGAGTCAGCAGGACCCTGGGGGCCTTGGACAAGTGCAGGGCTTTTTGAACTGCTGTGTGATTAGTGTAGACACAGAAGCCATGTGGTCCCAGCAGGAAATTAATTACCTGTAGGAAACCACCTCATGCTCCTGACCTACTTCTTCACTGGCCTTGTGTTGGGCACTTCCCTCTCTATGAGCCCTCCAGATGGCACCCTGCAACTGGGCTTTCTCTGCACAGGTGCTTCTGAGGCACTCAGGACGCTCTGGAGAATTCTTAAAATGCTTCATTGTTTGTCTTTACATCTAAACATTATGTCACAATCCTCCCAAATTCTTTCTACTGATCCTTTCTTGAGCTCTGCTCATGGCTACACAGCAGGGACTTTGATCACAAGAACCCTTGCCAAACCCACAGAGAATTGTGTGGTCTGGATTCTAGTAACCTCAGTGGCCATGTTTAATTGTGATTACAACTTGATTGGCTTTTTAATAAAGACCACTTAAAAGGTTACAGTCCCCAGCTGATGCCTGTTGGGCACAGAAATTTCAGAGAAATGTTATTATTTGGACTAACCCAGACAAACAATTCCAACCAAACAGGACTTTGGGGAACGTTTGCTAACACTACTGGCCACAAATAGGTGCTTCAGCATCTCTTTCCTGCACTGTGGCTAAGATCTGAGCCAGGCTAAGCGGAATGGTGGGATCAAAAACTGGAACACACCATGCTGTCGCAAACCACGGGTCAGTCACAGGTGCTGAGGCTCAGCAGAGAGAACTCTGTGTGTGTGTGACTTTTCTGAACAGAAGTTAGTAACAGAAACTGATGAGTTCCATTTATCCTGACGGGGAAGTGGTTTCAGAAAGTAATGTGTCTTAAGAAAAAGGGAATGTAAATATAACTCTGAGGGCTGTAGCTTTGGGAAGGTGGAAGCTCACACCACCACTGGAGGCTGTGCACCCTGGGGTACTAGCTGCAGTAGGGTGCTGTAAAGGACAAAACTTGCCATCTTTCAAGAGAACACAATCATTAAAATAAACCCTCCACCAGCAAGCCTCTCTCCTACAGCACTCTCCTTCTGGCCAGCGCCTGCTCAGCCACCACTCTAATTGGACTTGAAGTGCTGCCTCCAGGAAAGTGACTCAAGAGCCAGCTGGAGAAGAATGCAAATGAGCTGCTGGGGGAGGGAGCCTAGCAGGGAGGAAGACAGAAAGAAAAACAAAACCGAGGAGGAGAGAGGAAAAGGGGAAAGACCCATTAGAGAACAGCTTACACACAATATTTTTAAGGAATATGATAGGTTGTCGGACACACAGACACAACTGTTTCCATAAAGTCATTGTTCACAGACAGAAATGAAGGCAGCAAAAATGGACAAAGTTAAGACAAATTAATAGGAGCATTTAATTATTTCTTTTCTCACATGTGGCTGCTAGAGGGACCATTCCCAAAGGAAGACTCTTTTTGTATGGACTAGTAGTTTCACAGACATCATTTTGGGGATGAAAATAACTAATTGCTGGATCATTATAAGCAAAGAGAATAGTTTCTGAAAGCCAGGTTTTTGTCAGCTGTTTGTGTTGTAAGTGCGCTAGGGTGTGGGAGCATCTGGTAGTCAACATCCTGAGCAGGCAGCCCAGGTCCTCTCCCAGTCACACACTGACATTAGTATTTATCTTTATAAGCAAGGAGGATCTGGCGGACTAATATGAAGACTCCATTGGAGTAACTATTTAGATCAGTAAAGCTAACAGTTTTGAAAGGGTTTAAGAAATGGATTCACCCTTAACATATAAAAGAGAATCAACTGTTTCTGAATCTTCTAAGGAAACTGGGTGCTTAGACTGTTTTTTCTTTGCCTCTGATTACTGAAAGGTAATGGGGGAAAATCAGATAGCTTTAGTAATTTTGAGGCTAATCACAGAGGTGAAGGGTATTGTATTTAGTGGAGAGTCCAATTAATCAGACTGTATCTGCCAGGCAGCCTGCTCATCTCACTGAGGAGGGACGCTCTCGAGAAGACCACTGATGGGCTAGAGTTCTTCCAACATGCTATTCCTTTCTGGCTCCTTGAAAAGTCAGCTCACTGCTCTATAATTTTTGAGCAAAGTCGATCAGTTATTGTTATGGCTCTACTGGATGATAAGATAGGAAGGATGTGAACTGCTGCTCTTCTGTGGCACAAGACATCTGCCTTAATCCCGAAGGATCAAAGATGAGGGATGATAATTTTGTTAAAAAGAAAGAACAAAAATAAAACTCCTAAAATATTTTAAAACTCTTCTGTATAGCCAATTAATTTCAAGTGAGTTTTCCTTTCTCTTTTGCTGCATAAATAGCTAAGACACTAGCGTTTTAGGTATTTTTTTACATAATAGGTTGACAGTGAGGCTCAAATCCTTGGAGCAATGCATCAACTTACCTGCGCAAAATCAGTAGCAAGTCGCATTTTTCCACCTTCACCAAGAGGTCTTACGAGACTGGCATTACGGATAAAAAGTTCAATGGCTCTTTGGGCAATAGCTTCAGTGTTGTCAAAGACAAAATCCAAACATTCAAAGTGCTTAAAATAGTCATTCATAACTCTGGCAATGAAACCTTGTAGCTCCTTCATGTACAGAGAACAAGGAACATCAGGCTTTCCTGAGCTGGGTAATGACCTATAAAAGAAAAAAAAAAGCCATTTTCAGCATCAATCCATAAAGCTACAATCTTGTATATTTTCACCTCTGGTTATTATTTCAGTCCTGTGCAATTTTCCCATTAATGGTATAAAGACACCGTTTTGCTTTGTTTTGTTTTGCTAAGAGCTAAAGAATGTAAAACAAAGCTTAAATTATATTCTTAACTTTGTGTTTAGAACCTATGAGGATTACTGAAGGAATTTCAGGACACACTGACCTAAAAGATTAAGAATAAAAGACAGCTATCTGTCTTAGATGAATCACACTGGCCTTTCAAGGTTTGACCCCGCTCCCAGCTCGCTGTCCACTTCCATGTTTTGCCCGGTAAGTAAATATGTCAATAACAGATTCCGAAATGACATTTTGCACTTTGCAAGGGCAGAAACTGCTTGGTGGCAATCTCTGATCTCTCAGTTGATCACATCAGTCCAATGACAGCACCATGACAGAGGAATCAGTTGTGTAACAATATGCAGCATGCAATTTTTCCCTCCAGATGAGGATGTTTGGAAAGGCTTTAATTTGGAACAGCAGATGATACCAGCTGTGCTCCATGATATACTATTTATAACTTATAAATGTTTACAACTGCCCTTTAAAGAATATATTCAAAGAATATGAAATATTTATAGGGAGGAGTTAGACCAAAATTAGAAATCACCTGATCCTAGCTAATAGATGAGATCACTGACTACATAATGCTGAATCTTTTCCAAAAAGCAAGGGAAACGTTTCCAAATTCTGAGAATGATGCAGAGGAAATGGTGATGGTCTAGAAATGAACAACAGACATGACTAAAATCCCTTGAGGAAGAGAACAAAATGAGCTTGGTGACCTTCAAGTAAAGCAATGGTGGTCTTCCATTTCTAAAAGCAGACAGAACAGGGAAAGCAGGCTTTCCTTCCACCATGAAGGGTGTACAATGTAGGAAAGACTTTCCTAACAGCAGCAAGGTCACCACCAGGCCACCACAGTGTGCCCAGGCTCTGAATCAGAGCAGGGTGGTGGGCTACCTGAGCAGAGGAGACTTTGTCAGACTCAGGTCACTACAGGGCCTACTTTTATTCAGGCACCAGTATAAAGGGCTAAGTTGCAAAAAAATAACGTATTTTCATATTTTTTTACTTATTTACTGAATGAACAGTAAACACACATAATTGTGCTATATATTGATACACAGTAACATATGTATATAATGTGAAAAGATAAAAATCTAATAAACACATTATTTACAGTAAATTCTTACTTATTCCTCCTATCTAGTTATCTTTATACCATTTGACCAGTATCAATGCATTACCCCAACTTCCAAGCCCAGTAACCACTATCTACTGTCTGATTTTAGCACTTCAGATAAATGAGAACATGAAGTATTTGGTTCCTGTCTGGCTTATTTTTATATAGTATGTCTTCCAGGTTCATCTGTTTTATAGCAATCGGATTCTTAAAATATATGTTTATATTTAGGTGCTCTGATAGCAGATGCACATATATATTTTAAATATTATATCCAGTTAATGGTTTGACCCCTTTAATCATTTTATATATGATCTCTGAGTCATATTTTACAACTTTTGACTTAAAACCCATTTTGATTAACTACACCTGTCCCTGTTCTCTTTTGGTTTCCACTGTACAGACCATCTTCTTATCCCCTTTTCAGTTTACATATGTTCCTAAAGCTCAGATGAGTCTCACATGAAGGCCAAATCCACTTGGCCTCTCAGATCTTTTCATACTTTATCCAAAACATCATAAAATCTCCCTATTCCTCTGGAGAAGTGTGTTCATAGAGAGTAATATTTTGGAACAAATTCCAGAAGCATGTGTTAGCGTAAGTGAAATTATACTTCAGATGAAACTGGAGTTGCATATCAACAAATCTCATTGAGGATTAAAGTTTGATTTAAATTTACTAGAATATAACTATACTTGGCTACTAACGATCAGTTCTCCCAATCACTCTAAAGCCCTGAATAGCAGGTACTCCACAAGCTGTGCAGACATTCCAGGGTCTTCCAAGAGAACAGAGCTATGCAGAAGCTGAGGCTGAAGTGGGGATGAAGAATACACATGACTGAGAATTAGGAGCTGTGTGTCGTCACATCACCAGTTCTGCATGCAGCCTTTGCTTAGATCAGCGGTTCTCAGCCTTCCTAATTCTGTGACCCTTTAACACAGCTCCCCATATGGTGGTGGCCCCAAACATAAAATTATTTTTGTTGCTAATTCATAACTAATTTTGATACTGTTATGAATTGCAATGTGAACAGCTGTGTTTTCCGATGGTCCTAACCTGTGAAAGGATCATTTCACCCTTCAGAGGGGCCGTGACCCACAGGTCGAGAACCACAGCCTTAGAGGGACTCAGGCATTCCTGTAAAGATCCAGGGCCCTTCTCTCACTGCCTCCTTTCCCTATGCAAACTCTCATTAGGTAGGCTCTTCTTACAGAAAGCATGATTCGGACTCTAAGAGGAACAAGGGTCTTAGAGAGCTAAGAGAGAGCTTGCTCCCAAAGCCAGGGCAGGATTCAGACGAGTTCCCAAAAGGGCTATCACGACTATGCCGGGGATCACACAGATAAAGTGGAGGACCTCTGTGAGAAGGAAGGAAAACTACCCAATCCTGAAGCACCAAGCTGAGTTCACAACCCTGTTCTGTCTCAACAAGAAGAGAGATGATGGAAACAAGAACAGAGAGGATGGTAATGACATGCATAATCGAGGAGGCGAGGCGCTAACACTAGCACAAGAAAGCCTGGCTGGCAGAGTGGAGAGTGGGAGGGATAGGGAATGGAACGTTAAGGCTGTGAGCACTAGTAACAGTTTTAAGGAAATGTTTTACCCAGAGAAATCTTCCTGATGCATGGTGATGATTATGGCCTCGACCGCATCTGCCACTGATGTCAGTAAGGGCTGGATGGCATTCCCCATAAGAGCGTGAACCGTCTGACAAAGAGAAAAAAGGAAAGAAGCAAAATTAGAGAGACCAACACAAAGCAATCTGAGGAATGAAGTGAGATTCATTTCTGACTAACAGTTTTCATAGTCTATCAGAGTCAGACTGTGCACAGTCTAACAACAGAAGTCTGCTTCTCCCCCTAACCACTTTCAGCTATGACTCATAAAGCTCAAAATACGTGGACCACAGCACTGAGACTTCCAACTCCCCCAAGCATCCCACTCTGTCAACAGGGTTAGTGGGTAAATGATCCCTCGGAGAAAGTAAGCCACAACAGGGAGTAGACATGGTCCATTTACAAAGTTCAGAGCAAACCAACACATTATTTTTTGCCTCTCAAAAAAGTGAAATAAGCAATTCCTTAAAAATTGGAACATCGCCAGATTTTTTTCTTCTCACCAGAAAGAATAGGGCAGGAACACAGGTGATTCCTATAGGGTGGAACAGACAGGCAATCACAAGGTAAGTTTCTGTGGAGAAGTCCATGGGAGTGATTTTCTACTGAAGGTTTGTACTCCTGGGAAAATCTGGCAGGGTTTGGAGACTAAGAAGCAGGGAGGAATGTGTCACCAGTATCTACCAGTACACGACAGGGATGCTGCTACAGGTTAGACCACATGTTATATCCCACAGGCTACAGCATACACGAGAGAGCTATGCGCCAGTGTACCCATGCTGCTCAGGTAGAAAAGGGTTAATCTGTGGAAGGTCTGTTAGTTAGGGGTTTTGGTTTTGGTGTACATATACCAACCGGAATCGTGTCAACACCCCAAATAAAAACTGTATGTATACTACACATGCTTTGGTGGTAATTAAAATCACTGATGATGGATGGTCATGGCTTGTAATAATTGAAGCCAATAAGAAAAGAGGAAGGGGGACACTTATTCATTAAGTTTCTACATGTTACCCACAGGTCTTAATTTGTCAAGATAATAAGCATAATATATACAAAGGTGTGTGTGACCCAGTCTTCAGTCTAGTGATAGAGATGAAACATGATTATAATGGAAACACTTCAACAGAGCACAGTGGAATCATGGGGACTTCCATGCCACGCTGAAAAAATATGAAAAATAAAAGGAAGAAAACAGAGAGAAAGATGGGACTGGGAACGCATGCCAAATGCTAATCTACCTGGAGCTGAAGGACACAGGACACACAGACTACGAGAGCCCAACAGTGAAAGAGATGCAGCTGGAGTGTGTCTGAGTGGATCAGGAAAAGATGCAGCCCAGTGATAAAACACAGTCAAGATTTCAATTTAGAAAACGATCATACTGGAGAGTAGCCTAAGGGATTAGACTGAGGCAGGAACACAATCATGAGGCTGCAGGAGATACTGATGCCAAATGAACAAATTAGACATAGCAAGACGGGAGATGAAGTCAGCAGGGCTTGGCGGTTACAAAGTATGAAGAGATGTAAGAGTACACGTACTTTTTCTTTAATAGTTAGTAACATCACTGACTCAACATTACAAATAAAAGCAGGAGAAGTTGATCAATTCAGTTAGGAATAAGAATTAGAAATGCCTATTTGAAAACCAGCTATTAGGTAGGTACAGAGATATTTAAATTTGTACCTCCTGAGATGTTTTGGTTAGATTTGCTAGTCACCAGTTTTTGAGACAGGAGAAACACCAAGACAGTCAGTGCGCCCAGAGATTACTGCACAGATTGATGCCAAGTGGCATGTGCCCTTGGAGGAAGAGGAGAGACCTGATCGGACAGGTGATTTTACCTACAAATAAGTTATTACTTCTTCAAAAAGTTTTTATTCTCTCCAATTTACATTATATGTGAAATCATTTATAGAGAAGCTCAGGCACATTCAGAGGACTCTCCAAAGCCATGGGTGAGCAAGTAGAATAGCTGAGGCTCTTTGAACATGTCTGCCCTATGAGCCTGGGCTGTATGCTGGGAAAAGAAAGCAAAGTGACCACAGAGTACAGGGATAAAAGTGAAGACTGTCTATAAAAGGGTGCATTTCTTACTCAGGGTGAGAAGGACCATCTAATACAAAACAAGAGTGCCTACTGCAGAACGTAGGAGATACAGCTCGGGCAGTTCTGAGAGCTGTGGAACTCCAGGGTAGACAGGCAGGCTCTTCAGTCTACGGCCTTGCTCCCAGAGGACCACAGTGAGGCCAGGGCAAGGGTCAGTGGTTACTATCCAGGAGAAGACAGAAACTAGGTTTTACTTTCTGATCCTGATCCCTCCTTCTCACTCCTCATTCCCACTGGTCTCTGGCCTTCTCCCAAATGGTCTTCTGTAGCAATGCAATATCCTGAAAATCTCTTTTACATTTTAAGAGACTGAAATTTTTGCGGAACCACACAGCCAGAGTCAACAATAGACCTTGAAGTCACGTAAGACTGCTCTCCTACTCTACTCAGCCTTTTAACCGTCCTGTGAGAGAACAATGTGACAACCAACTTGCTTAACTTTTACAACTTAAGCTAACGCATAGCTGAAATTATGTACTTTCCCACACACGGGACCCACATAATGCAGTGTTACTATTTTCCAAAACCAGCAAATATAGAAGTTGAAAGCAACTTCCCAAAATTTACTATAAAGGTAAAAAGCAACCATTTATGATTATTGGTTGGCAATTTTTTGTTGTCTGGGTCAGCTGGAGCCAGTGACTTAAAACTTGTAAAACTCTGCTAATAATTTCTATGAAGGCCAGGTGGCTCATGTCTTTTATCCCAGCACTCCAGAGGCAGAGGCACGTAGATCCCTGTGAGTTTGAGGCTAGCTTGGTCTACAAAGCAAGTTCCAGTATAGCCAGGCTGTTACAAAGACAAATTCTGTCTCAACAAACCAAAAGAAAGAAAAGGAAGGAAGGAAAGAAGGAAGGAAGATTCTATAAAGTACCCCATTTCCTATGTGATGCTTCAATAAATACAGACTGAAGGCCTCTGTCACAGATACAGACACCATTGACACACACATGCAGAAGACACATACAGACATAAAGACAAAACAGACACACATAAGGTCAGACACATACACAAACCGACACCACCCTTACACAGAGACAGACATACACAATACACACGTAGACACAGGGATAAACAGATTCACAAGACAGCACACATGGGACAGACAGAAGACACAGGGAGCATGAAGTAGAAAATTCAAGGATGAACTCCCTCTTGGTTAAATGACTCCAAGGGGAAGTGATTTGATTTTTTCCTTAATGTGAGAAAACACTAATATGTAAAATCTCATATATATATATATATATATATATATATACACACACACACACACACACACACATATATATGTGTGAATGATATCTATCTATATTAAATCTAGATTCTGCAGATGAGAAACATGCTATATTTTGTCTTTCTTACACCTCCAGTAGTCTCTTGTTCCTCTCGCACATCCTGTTAGATTCTCTTCTCACGTTAGGAGTCCATGTCTACTCTCATGTAATATACGTATGCATATCTGACTCTAATTCCATATGCAAGAGAAAACATGTAATATTTGCTCAACTTTGACTTATTTTCTTGACCTGATGCTCTCCAGTTCCACCCATTTTCCTAAAAATGTCAAACCATTCTTCTTCATGGCTGAATAAGGCAGCATTTCTTTCTCCTCTCTTCTGGATGGGCATCAAGTCTGGTTCCACATCTGGGTGATGGTGATGGTGCAGATGTGAATGTGGATGCACACGTCACTCTGAAGTTCACTACCTCACACTTGTTTATTTTGATTTTTTTTTCTTTTTTGGTTTGTAGAGACAGGTTTTCTCTGTAGCTTTGGTGCTTGTCCTGGAACCAGCTCTGTAGACCAGGCTGACCTCCAACTCACAGAGATCCGCCTGCCTCTGCTTCCTGATTGAGTAGGAATGTGATAGTTGAGTTATATGGTAGTTACAGTCTTAGTTTACCTGGGACCCTGCATATCAATCTCCATATGTGGCTATAATGTTTACACTCATAACTGTAAATGTACGATAGTTCATCTGTTCCTAAATCCTCACTGGCAAGAGTTGTTATTTCTCTTCATTGGCTATTTTGATTGGGATCGGATGGAATACAGTGTAGGCTTAATTTGCATTTTCCTGATGGCTAAGGATGTTGAACATTTTTCATATATTCACTGGCTATTTATATTCTTTTAATTATTTGAAAATTTCATTCATACACATACTGAAGTTTAGTCATTTCCACACACACCTCCTTACCCTTACTTACTCCTTTTAGGGGATAATATCTGACTGCATTTTAGTTCTTCTTTTGAGAATTGTCTATTCAGTTCATTTCTTCTCAGAAAGAATTTGGTAGTGTCCTTTCAGTTTTTATTTTAGGGGCACTGATGTTAGATCTTTACAGGTCTGAAGGAATCCAGGTGTGAACACTGATGTTAGATCTTTACAGGTCTGATGGAATCCAGGTGTGAACCTGTAGAGAGTTTCTTTGTTGGTAAACTATTACTGCTTCAATCTTGTTGATTGTTATGGACCTGTTTAAGTTGTTTATAGTCTTTTTACTATATTCCTACAAATTTATTAATTTCTCATATAGTCCAGACTAGCTGAACTCACTAGTTACTGAAGATGGCCTTAGATTTCTGCCTACACCTCCTAAGTGCTAAGTGCTAGGGACTGAACACATTTGGATCACCCTAGGCTCCTAGGGTGTGAGAAGGGTATTATGGGAAGGAGAAAGCTGGGAGGTGGGGAATGTCTAATTGTATGTTTAAATTCAGCACGAGTCTCCATCTGACTCATAAGCCCCATTCATGCAGAATAAACTAAATATGTCTTGCCAATACTATTTTAAGAAGTGAACTATTAAGTATAATCTCAGAACTTGGGAGATGACAGCAAGAGGACTAGCAGCTGCAGGCTATCTTGGATACATAGAAAATTCAAAGCCAACCTGGGCTACATGAGACCTTGTGTTAATGGAAAATAAGTGAGCTGAATGTGGGCATGGTCGTGAATCATGGCAGGTGTGACA